CCATGTTGTGGAATATGGCTCAGCCTTGAGGAGGAGTGACCGTCTGACCCACACAACAGCATGGATGGCCCAAGGACACTGTGCTCAGCAAAATAACCCAGGCACTGCACGCCTCATGCATGAGGTTTTGCCCTCATCAGCTGCACAGAGCGAGGAGCTGTGGTGCCCAGGCTGGGGGCCTTCCTGGTGGAAACAGTCTCACAACACATTGAATATTCTTCCTGCAGCTAAATTGTACTTAAGAATGATTAGAATGGTAAATTTTATGTTGTGTTCTTTACCACAATAAATATTTAATTTAAAAAAATGGGTTCCTTAGTTCCTCAGCATAACAGGGTATGGCTGGACAGAGATCAGCCTCACAGCCACACTGTGAAGCTGCTGGGCAACAAATGCCGAGCTGATCAAACCCTTCGAGGCTTCAGTTAGGTCCGTTGTTGGCTACAAATTCCCATGGCTGCACACTTTCTTACACACGCACACACACACACATCACTGCACCAAACTCTGATTGTGAAGAATGCTAGTTATGTCTCAAAGCCCTTTAGTTACCAAATTTTCCTTTTTTGAGAAAAATCAGGTTGGTGATACGAAGGCCTTCTACCATGTGGCTCTATGCCCTGGAGCTGGCATCATGCCATCTTATTCCTGGATACACGAGGCAGAGAGCTCAGAGCTCCCCACTGCACCCTCAGATCCCTTTCTTCCCTGGCTCACATCCTCCTTGGAGCCTCCCACCACCACCACTTTCAGAGCCACCAGCAAACACACCATGACCTGTGACCCTGCATTTAGTTGTTTTGCCTCTTTTTATATTTCTATCTTCATTTTAAACCAGTAATAAAGTGTAGTAATTTGAGAAGAAATTGGAGCTGAAATGCTCAGCTGGGTGTGGTGACACACACCTGTAATCCCAGCACTTGGGAGGCTGAGGCAGGAGGATCTTCAGGAGTTTGAGGCCAGCCTGAACTACTACATAGGTAGACCCTGAAGAAAAAGGAGAGAGAGAGAGAGAGAGAGAGAGAGAGAGAGAGAGAGAGAGAGAGAGAGAGAG